TCAGGATGTGACAACTGACTTCATATCTAACAGATAATCAGTAACTTTATCGTATTAACAATTAAGTGTATAACGTAAGCACTGTAATAGTAGGAATAATTCTAAGTAGTATATTACATTCGAAGAAAAAGAATAATGAGTGCTGTGGCCATATATGTCATTTTCAAAGGGAAATTTTATATGAACCTACGCTACATTTCTTATTCACAACACGTGTAATTTATAATAGCACGGTAGAGCAAATAAACCATTAAACTATATATTCAACTAAAAGTCACTGTTTCACAATAGTGGAAGTTTGAATGACAGTCATTGTTAAATAAAAGTCAGAAATAAAATTGCTAAAGGTATTCATTTAGGTCACCTATTTGTTATATCCAATATGGAGTTTGGTTATTTTCTAAATGACGCAAAATATAACAATGCAGCATTTGCTTGTATAACAAATCAATTGATGAAATAGTGTATATTTATTGTCTGAAATAGTTATGACATGTATTACGTTTGCTTATCCAATAACTACCTCGATATGCGATAACAGCTAGCGTAGGTGTAGGTTTTAAGAAAGCTGGGATCGGTTAAACCAAGACAGAATCAGACAGTGACGACATTGACCGTCGGACTGAGTCATATAGGTAGGTGCAGATTACCTGGTTGAGAGCGACACGATTACCATAACAAATGGTTAGAGAATTTGAGTGACATCGTTCAAAATCGTTCACAGTAGCTCAGGCAGATTCACACTTTGTCTTTCATTAGATCAGATATCATTCATACGAATAAAAAAAGATTTTCACTATCAAATCAAAATTATATGACTACATCGTCTTTTTCAATTTCTCAGTTCATAAATGTAATGTTATGATCGACTTGGCTAATACTCATCACATATGTTTATTAACCAGTGTTCATTTACCGAATTATATAATCATCCACTGGAGAGGTGGCTTAATGGCTAAGACGTTCTACTTTCACCCACTAAGTCCCAACTTCAAACTGCGCATCACTTCTGCTTGGGAAACCACAAATTATCATCATCTCTCACACTTATGGTATAACTCATATCCAATCATCCGGTGAATAAGCCTTAATAACAAGCTTGATTGGTGCTCCAAAACACTTTCTGAATATTTGATTACCATTTATTTATGAAATTTTATACACTCATTTCTTATTAAAGTTGTATTGAACCGAGAAGTAGAATCCAAGGCTCATATCTTATTCTATTCAAGACATATTAGTCAAAAATACCTGAATCCCAGTGTTAATATTTATACCGAAAGTTAATCCAAGATACGACCAGCTAACGAATCTCAAATATGTCGTTCAAATAGTGATAAATACACGCCTTAATCTCAACAATAGGAAATTCCTTTAGTTGCATTAAGTCATATTGTATGATGATAACCATCCTTTTTTGAATGCTAAATAACTGTAAAATATCCAGTATTCTAGACCATTTCTCCGTTCGTTCGTTAAGTGAATGCTGTATATTAGAGTACAATTTTCACTGAGGATTCCATTGCAATAATCAAAAGCTATCTACATATATCTCTAATAAAAATGATACTAGTGCATTCCTACTTTTTTAATGGAAAATGTCAAAAATATGAAAGGGCTTGAAATGAAATCCCAAGTGAAAATTATGCTTTTATATAATTTGGCTTTCAATCATTAAATAAACAGAAAGATAGTAGATACTACAGATGTGCTACAAATCCACAAATATGTACAATAGCCCTTTAAATTTGTCACATCAATACTAAAATACAAAGAATTGTGAAAGCTGACGAGAATTGGACGAAAAAAAAATTATTATTTTATTTAATTAAACACAAATATTGGTACAAGGAGGCACCAAATAGATATACGCCACATAAATCATTCGGTGTGTGTGTGGGCTGTAATACTATCCGGATGCCCAAACCGAAACAGGTGATTTTCTTAGGTGTCCACACCTGGAGCCTTCGACCTAAAGGTCTGATCCAAAAGGCAGTGGAGCAACGTCAGAAGATGCAGTCTCATGTTAATCGGTGACCAATAATTGGTTCACATGCCATTTGTTTCTTCAGGATCCTAGATCCCGTGTGCACCACTAATTTGGAATGAAGGTTTTCTAATTGCCCTAGTTGGATCCTCTATATCCACCAACCTGGTTAAATCGCCGTAAATTCGCTTTCCGTCCTCTCAATTTCGTAAACAACAGTAATGCCACGAGAAGGCAATGAGTAGGACTTCCCTGGCAGTGGCTGTATGCACGTGGCCATGTGAGAGCATTTGGAGAAGGAGAGATGACTCTCCCTACTCTCGGCCATACCAGGGCATTGAACAAAAAAAAAGCAATTCATGTGATTCTGTTCAAATGTGTTGTTTACGAAAATGAGAGAACGAAAAGCGAATGTCTGGCGCTTTAACCGGATCCCAAATCAATGGTGCACATGGGCCCCAGTATCCTGAAGGATCAGATGGCGTATGAACCAATCGTTGGTCACCGGCTACCATGGGACTGCATCTCCTTACGATGCTTCACTGCCTTGTGGGTCAGACATTCAGGTCGAAGGCTCGGGGTGTGGCTCCCTAGGAAAACCACCTGCTTCGGTTTGGGAACCCGGGCAGTAACACAGCCCTCACACAAATCAATTGAGATTCGTGTGGCGCATATGTACTTGGTGCCTCCTTGTACCTATACCTATGTGTTAAAATAAATAAAAAAATATGTGTTTTAACTTTTGAGTCAATAATAGGTTATATACATAAAGCCAAGTACATTTAAACAATTGACAGTTATTTCGCATAAAAAATACCAACTTCCTAAAGATAAGAACAATTACAGTCCTTGAAATATCTTATCATTAGCTAATTTTTAAAATAACAAAAGAACATTATTCAGTTATATATTTTACCAGTATAGAGTTGTGGAGATTATTTTTTGATTGATTTAATAATCTCCATAACCCTATATTGATAATTATCATGTGCTCACTAGTGACCAGATTCCAGAGGTAATTCTCGGAGTTCTAGTGAGAAGCCGTGATCAGTGGAGCTAATCCGTAGCGAGTAGAGGCAGGTATCTACCTTAATACAATGGAAGATCGTCGCGCAATTTCGTGGATTGGTTAATGCTAGACATTAACACCGTTGGTGAGCGAGACTGAAGGTCCTGGGTTCGAATCCCATGACCGGGATCGTGGATACGCACTGCTGAGTAGTCCAATACTAGGACAGAACGGCCGTTCAGTGCTTCCAGGTTTTCAATGGTGGTTTAACATCAATCAGTTCAATATCTCAATTATTAACTGAATAATCTCCACAACCCAACACTGATAATTTGTAAATATTCAAACAGGTACTAAGACCACTGAATAATAAGTGATTTAACATAACTCTTTTGTATACAAATATCAAGTTTTAACTAGTCAATTCTTATCGTTTCAATTACTTTAATTAAATGAAATAACATCCATCTCTTCTTTTGTAGATTATTATATTTATTGCTTCAAAATTATCGATTACTTTTGACTATCAGTATTCAATCCTGTAACATTTCACTATTTTTATAGACTCATATAATTCGACTATATTTGATTAGCTTGTTTAATGAGGTTGGTGATGCTTAGACATATAAATAAAATTGTAAAATTTAAGAAAATGATGTCATTGAAAAGAAACTCTTCGCCATTCTTCTCTCATTGGGTTTCTCTTTCTATTTTATGTGTATTCACTGTAATAGGATTCAGCTCATATGGTATCGAATTCAAACAAACCGATGTATACATCTTAAAATCAGTTACCTAAGCATGTTCGTTACATATATATATAACAGGATATTTATGATATAAGCGTAGCAGGAAATCAGCATTCATCTTCAAACTTTCCAGATTAGTAGCTATAATATGCAAAATTCAGCTTCTTCAAATCTTAACATTGTTTTATTCTGTTCCATTTCATTTTTTTATTTTGCCATTTATTATTTCCCATGTCAATGTACTAATCTATCATTACCTACATTTTAATTTATTCATTATCATTTACTTCTTTTACAATCATCGTTCGGACTTTCTTTCCCATATAACAGTTTTCGCATTCCTTTTCTCCCTCATTCAATGGAGAATTTTCGTGCTACTGATTCTACCAAGAATAAGTCTATTTCGGTCACTTATAATCAACTTACAGCATGGCATGCATATATATATATATATATATATATAAATATCATTGACTCAAGTCTCTATGCTACATCGATACGACAAGATGAAGTTAATAAGATAAATAGCAAAAGAATTCAAACAGTTTAGTAGCAATGATAGTGAAGAGGACCAAGTGTTGAAAATATGGTTTAGAAAATCAAGTTGAAGGGTATTTGTGTAGGAATACTGGAACTTAAAGTCTAGAGAAAGGTCAATAATTAGTATATCTTCACCATTATGATCGATTGTGAGCCTGAGGTTATTATATGAATCTTAACCATGTATTTACGCCAACTCTTCTTTCACGCTTGTTCACAATTACTCTACATACTTAGCTTCAGGTCATACTTTTTGAACATGAGTTCTAGTATCATTATTATTGTTATTATTATCTAATTACCCAGAATAAAATAGACAGAGCAGAATTCGAACCTACAATCTACCTGTTCAAAGATGTATTATATTTTATTCTTTATTATTTTGCTACAATTCTTTCTATGCTTTACTTTTATTAACACCAAATACACCACCCAGTGATCAATCAATTGTTAATACATCTCAGTCCTATAGGAGGTTGGTCAATGGTTACGTCTTTAACTGTGAAGCTGTATGACACGGGATCGAATCCGTCAGGGAACACTATACATACACCTTGCTGACGACTGCCTGGTACCACGAAATCTACTTTCAGGATTTCCTGTTGACTATTTCCAACTACCATTATTTTATACATACATCATTATTACATAATTATATAATATTATATTACATATGAATAATATATATATTAAATATTATTAGAATCTTAATGAATTACTTACCATTATTTAATAATGTATTATCAGTTTTATTCATTTGAACAATATAAGAATTTTTATTCACATTCAATGATTGTTTATTGAATTCATCATGTTCATAATGAGTTGATAAAATATCATCTATATTAAATGTAGGTGAAATATTACATGATAATTTAATTGATTCTTTTGGTGATGATGGTATATCCACTGATATACATAAATTAGATGATTTAGATGAATCTAAACTAATTAATGATAATGATTCTGTAGAAGTTAATGGCATATAGAGACAAAGAGACAAAGAGAGAGAGAGAGAGAAAGAAAGAGAGAGGACGAGAGAGAGAGAGATGGGGAGAGATGAGACAAAATCAAAATATATTATATTATTTTAATTTTTTTAATAAAATATAATCATTCAATTAAGATAATATTAAAGATAATACTATTCCAAATAAACACATCCCATATTACAATATTAAATAAATGATGTAAGATGAATAATAACATTAAATGATTGTGACTGTCACTTAAGTGAATATATTTAGTTTAACTTATCATATTAATTAAATAATAGTGGATAGACAGTTAAGACTGTCCTATTTGTATTCGGATAGGTTAAATCCACCTACTAGATTGAATAAATTAAACCAATAGATAAACTAATTCACAACTAGTCTTAATTTTATAAACAAGTTTAAGCTTTATTAAAAGTTATTGCATAAGATTTAATTTATGTTTTATACTTTCATAGATTAGTTCTAATGAAAAAAACACTAATTCACTTTGTAAAGTTTAAATTAATTAAACAAGTATCAAATGATATCGACTATTTGTCTAGTACTTTCTTGTAATAATATTGTAAGTTGACATTCTTTCCCACCACCCACCCACCCTCCTTTCAGTACTTGACATACAGTTGATTGAACTAATCAGCACAGAGTGTAACTAAGTCTAGATTAATTGGTGACATATTAAGTTAATTAAATCGTTAGCTAGGCGTAAAATAATTATTCTTTCACACTGATTTATCACTTATGTATTATACAATACATTGTGTTCATTCATTTTGAGACTGGGAAGTAGTATTTATCATTTCTGGTAAAACATTTTTGATTAGTTGTTAAGATAGCTAGATTTATTTTACTCCTATAATTATTAATCAAGAGTATGTATCAGATAGAAATAGATATGCATCTACATTATTCAACTTGATAATTTCTCTCAGTTTTCCAAATATATATTTTATTCTTTTTGTTCGGTTGCTAAGCTAATTTAGTTATTTTAAGGTAAAATCATACTATAGCCTGTTGTTTAATTTCTTTGTCAATACATATCAGAGTAACAAAACTAAAACCATTTTTATCAAAATACACATAAAAAGCCTAGTAAGCTGTTTTTGGAAATATTTTTCTACTTATATGTTTTATATAATGGCATTTAAATATTTTCTTTTAGATCATCTGATGTAAATGTTAGGGTAACTAATTTCCAACTTCAATCAGTTCTTAATATAACATGACAGTTATCCTATTTCATCAGTAAGTAACTATCTCAAACTGAAATAATTGAACTCAGTTGACCATGGCTTTCACTATAACTTTGGGAATACATCTTAAAGTCAATGAGGATATGATTATTATCAAAAAAAAGTGTTCGGAGAAAACTAATTCATTTTATAGGCAGCTTTTTTCATGGAATAACTATTAAATATAAATATTCAGACACTAGACAACAGTGATACAATTCAACAGCCTTAAAACATCACATTCAAATACAGTCGGAACTAGATGAATTACAGAATCAAATATTGATCGTATATGGCATATATAAAATCAAATTTGTCAAAATGTGTCCTTTATAGCAAATTATAGTAATAAAACTCATTACAAAACCTTATAGTTAGATTTATTCAGAGTTTGGAAATAAATGCCAAAGCTCAAGCATGAGAATAAAACTAGAAGTTCAGTATATTAAGACAAATAAAGCAAGTACAAAATTGAATATGACAAATAAATCAAAACTTAACCAAAAAAAGTGAGTTTCACATGAACAGTTAATGAAGAGCTAAAGATTTCATGCTTTTACTACTTCACATTAAGACCAATATAAACTAAAGAGTATTAGACGGTTATTTCATTTCTAGCAAGATTGCAAATACCCATTCTTATAGAGTAACAAATTATTGTGGAGCAACTATGTTAACTTTTCCTGTTTTCCATGTGTTCTTTATAGAAAATCAATCCATGATGAGAAATACATAGTCGGTTTGGAAGAAAGATTCATTCATGAATTTTAAAATATAAATGTCGTTTTTGTTAAGAAATATTTCAAGATTAGATGCTATCATCTAAATCCATATTGATTCTTTGACTTATTTTTATGACGTGCAGTATCCGTAATCTGATACTGATACACGGTGTGCTACGCGCTAACCTCCTCAACTGACGACTTTAGCGAGAAGGTGTATTGGAAAACCGAATGAAATGTACAAATACCCATTCATATACATAACACTCCATCCTTAGGAAATGCACTTAACCTTTGGGTGACTTGTGATTGCCGTCGCTTAACCTTTTCATTAGACTACTTCTGATTAACTCTCTATATTACTTATCACATTCTACTTGATTCATGATTAGTAAAAATGGTGAGATTATAAGTCTAAGTTTTCTAGTTTTAAGCTCATATCATGAATGGATTATTGTTAGACCACCATTGAAAACTTGGAGGCAATGAATGACCTCTTCGTCCTAGTATGGGACTCCTCAACGGTGCATATCAACGACTCCGCACGTGGGATGAGAACGCAGAGCCTTCAGTCTAACACGCGGACGTCTAATCTGTAGACCACTGAGTCGATCGGCATCCAACAGTGTTAATGTCTAACTTCAACCAATCCACGAAATTGCGCCACCATCTACCATTGTTTTCAGTGGGTAACTGCCTCACAACAAACGCAGCTGAACTCCATTGGTCACGAATTCTCACTAGAACTCCAGGAAATTCATTTTGAAGCCATTTACTAGCGAGTACATAGTGATTATCATTATAAGGTTATGGAGATTGTTAAGTTAGTTAACAGGCTTATTGAAGAATTCTTACAATGGTGACAGTTAGGGTATTTGAATATGTTAAAAGTAATTGCTAAGTTTGTCTTTATTTTTACTAGACAAGGTATATGAAAATAACTATACTTCCAACTCTCCCATCAAAAATAAAATTTTGTGTTTTGGGATAAACTAAACAAAAAACATCAACCATCTAGCATCTAACTCATGGCATAATCATGATAATGATAATAATGCAAAACTGGTTGTTGCATAAACATACAGTATTTTCACTGACTGGATACTCCAGGAGAAAACAAAACGATTTATCACAAGTTCTTTACAATTTTGCCTGATAACTAATGTGATTATACAAGTGGACAATGAAAATCACAATGCACAGGGATTCGTAGATCATAATAATTACACAACTTGGATACTTTTCCATACAAAATTGAAAAATATATTCATTATTGATTATCCATTGAAAACCTTTGAGGAGCAAACTGTGGTTTTCTCATAGGATGTCTATCCTTCAGCCATTCCTCCTTAAGATAATGAGCTCACTAGTGACTTGATTCGAGTTGAGTTCTTACAATTCCATTAGCGAGTCATTATACATAAAGTTCATCCAGACTAATAGTGTAATAATCACTACTGATTGTATTGAATGGTTGTCACATTATTATGGCGAATTAACTGAACATGGAAATATGTGCAATTGGATGTTGGCCCAACAGCTTAATGTTTAAATGATCGTCAAGAGTTGTTAATGAAGCATTACTTAAGTTACATGTTTTTGAATATATTTTCTTATCTCTTCTTAACAGAAAAAAAAGTATTATTAAAATGTTTTAACCAATTCCAACTCTAACAATAACTCACTACTTTACATATTAAGTATCTTTATAGTTTTTAATCTGTATAGGACGAAATGGCCGTCGAATGTTTCCAGGTTTTCAATGGTGGTCTAACATCAGTCGGTTCACGATTTCAATCAGAAATTTAATAATCTCTACAACTCTATAAAGATCATCTGTATAGTTTGTTCATAAAATTTCGAAACATTGGAGAAGTTATTTCTATATAAGGTGGATAATTTACAAAATCTCAGTTATATTAAAAGTCGGTGATACTATATCATTAGAATCATTCATAAGTATATACACATAAACCTAAAAAATTTACGAACTTTTCGATGACTTATATAGTCAGAAGGGGTTTTGTGGAAACTTTAGAAATTTCAATGGTTAAAATCATGAGTCAATTGAAGCTAAACTACCATGGGAAACCTGAAAGCACTGGACGGCCGTTTCGACTGATAAGTTGTGGGTTCGAATCTCGCTGCGGGGGGCGGGATCGTGTATATGCACTACTGAAGAGTCCCACAATAGGACGAAACAGTCGTCTAGTGCTTTCAGGTTTTCCATGGTAGTCTAGCTTCAATTGACTCATGATTTCAACTTTTGAAATTTATATAGTTATTACATCATCTAATTCAACCTATATGGATGATAATTTCTAACTCCACTTAACTTGTTATTGCGTAACATAATAAAGACTATCAAATCACCTATACATTTTACTTAATTGAACTCCAATCTTTAACAATACACTGAATGTATCTGGGTTTCTTTTTCGAGATTTTATTCTTTAAAACAATCTCGACAATTAACTGGTTTTGATTGTAATACAATGTCAAAAAAAAGAACAACTACAACGTAGCAATCAATAATTTTTTGCCTACTTCTCAAGCTCCTACTGTTTATTTGTGGTCAATTGTGGATAGAAATGAGTCGTGATTGGTTTTTATTCATTTCAATAATATGTAGATGAATGTCGATACACCAGTAGACAATATATTTTGTAGATAAATAATACATTATAATTAGTATAATTTTTGTCATGAAATTCTATTTTGTTATTGAAACTAGATAATTCTAACTCAATGAAATTCAATTGGTGTTGTTTTACTTGTATCTTCTCATTGTTATATAGAACTGCAAATGATCAATCTCATGTTGACATATGTGCATCATGTGCGTATTGCCTCCATATAGCCTTAAGTCACAAGCTTTCTAAGCAAAGATAGATAGTGGCTAATAGTGGAATACAGTTTGATGCACGTTTCGTCCTATTTGAAACTCGTTAGCTGAAGATACATGCATCCCAGAGTTGATGTCCATTTCAGACACATCCAACTGATGAGTCTCAAACAGGATGAAACGCATGTCCT